AAACTCATCGGATATCGACGCAGCTCGACGCCGCCGTCACGGCCAAAGCAGTTTCATCTTCCAAATCGTTTCTGTTCGAAAGTTATCGCTAAAAAACAAAATGGACAAATTGTCCTGGACTGACCATACCGACGTCAAACGACGACAACACCGTCCCCTGGGAATCCCCCCGGTTCCCTGCACTCTTCCACCAAGCTCGTGCTGCAACACCAAGCTACCGCGAGCGATTTGAACCACCAGCAGCGGCGAGGAACGGTTGACAGGCGCCAAGGGTAGTATGGAGCGAGAGGACATGGGTACGTTCACGACGCCGGTCGTGCATATCAATGCCGAGGGGGGCTGGGGGCCAGACGCAAGTGCGTTGCCTGAGCAGTTCCTGGACGTCCCGTACGCGCCGTTCGGCAAGAGCGATCGCATCGGAAGGGCGGCCGACTTCACGGCCCCCGTGTACTTCCAGAACCGGAGCTTCCGTAACCGACGTGGGGAGGATAACGCCGTCAACGCGGAGTTCCAGTACAAATACGACAATGAGGAGGACGAGGCGTTCCGCCTGGTCAACACCACGAAGTCCAAGCAGAACCGGTTCGGACCGCGTAACCGCTGGAACAACAACCGTGGCCGGGGCCGCGGTCACGGCGGCCGGTTCGGCGGCCGATTCGGGGAGACTACGCGGGGACAGCCGGCGGCGAGTCAGGGGGGACAAGCCGGGAAGGACCGCACTGGAGGTCGCTTCATCGCCGTGCCCAAGAACAAGTGGGAGCGTCAGCGCTTGGCGAGGGGTCCGTCCCCGGAGATCCAAGCCGTAAACCCCAAAAATGTGATCCAGCCGGGCGCAAACGAGCTGAGCGTATATCTTTTATAGTTATAAATCTATATCTTTTATTGGATAAAGGCTGACCATTTGACTACGTGCAGAGTCAGCGCTGACTAGCCTAATGGTGTATCTTTATCTTACACAAAGGATGCACTACTGGAAGTTCCCGTTCGAGATGAAACCAGTCTGAAGTTGGCACTCTCCGGAGTATTGAGTTCAATAACTGCATGCAGTAGCCATTCGGGTAGAAGCATCATTTTTTGGCAACAATCCTCGTCAATTGTCATGGGCGACCGGGTACCTTTCTGAGCGGCCAAGTCTCTACGGGCGTCCCCGAATGTATTTTACAAAATGATCGTCCCACCCATCACTCAGTAGAAGTACGCACGAAGGGTTCGTTCAATGGAGAAAGTAGAGGTATCGGTGGCCTAACGTCGGTCAGCTACAGGACTACAAGGTCGCACATCTTGGAGCTTTCCTCTGCATACACAGTAGGGTTTCACATAATTTTGCGGGGCTTCGCCCCAGAAGCAACGCCCAACTACCGCTGTCCCGGTACATCATTCACGGCCACATCAAACGAGAGTCTCCGAGAAAAAGATTGAAAGTATTCGAACGTGGTGTATTCGAGAAGGGGAGGTGATTGCTTGTGTACAGAGCCATGCGAACTGAAGTATATGCCATGGTCGCCATTAAGCAAACTCTTTGCTGGCATGTAAAATGGTGTGCCCTGGAAACATGGTGGCGCACTCCATGTGATGAAGGCGCCATGATCATTTTCTCGCAGCGGTTGTGATGACCGTGGGGTGGTGTTGTCGTACACGCACCACCCACAATGAACTCCGCGAGCCCCACCTACGAATGAACAAGATCCAGCGTGAATGGTGATGCTCTTAAGGGAGACAAGAAGCGAAGGGTGTGTGCATTCCTCGATAGTAGTGGGTGTGTGATGATGATTGGTGGTGGTACTGTATGTCGGTGCAGAGCAACTGAATATTCGTTTCTCTGCACAACAATCCGTCGTTTACTCAACCCCAAAGGTATCCCCAGACATACGTCGTTTGCGAAGCAAATACGCTTAGTTTGCACGGTATGGCGCAACCGATGAGGTAGGCGTGGTACAGGTTCGCATCGGATTCTGTCGTCTGCCCCTCTGGCCCCTATCCCCCACTTCTACTAGCTAGATGACCCAACCGGGGTCACATAGGAGGGGGGGGCTGGACCCACTCCTGCGGTTCCTGCCTGAGGTATTTTTATCGCGAGAAAGGTACAGCAATCCCTTCCCTCGCGTGTTTGGTGGTCTGGTGGAGATGTTGTTCTCGAAGTTGGGGGGCTCATGGCGTCGGTAGTGATTGATTACACCGAACGGACAGTGATATACTTGATAGTTTGGGCGTCCGCGCGTCGGTCTACGCAGAAGAGTGTTTGTTCGTGGAGCAGAAAGAATACATTCGGGGTTCAATATTTTTGTAACGGTCGAATTACTGTAGGTTGGGCCTCAATATTTGCCGGGAAACCTGAGGTCACGAGTTGTTGTTGTTGTTGTTGGTGGTGGTGTTGGTGTTGTTGTTGTTGCTGTTAGTGGTGTTGTTTTCTCCAAATCAAAAACCGTTCCAGTCTCCACTCAGTACCTTCTAATATCCGTACTGGTCCAACTGACGCGGACGCCTTCCGTGGATGTGAATAACAGCCTTCGCGCTGTAGCTACAGTCGAGTGAAGTGTGAGAGCCACAGAGCGCGCGAAGAAGCGGAAGGACAGCAACAGCCGCCCAACGTAGCGACGGCAGTTAAGCAAACAAGAAAGGACAGGACACACGGTCGTAGGCACTGGAGGAGACCAGCGTGTCAGGCGTTCCTGACCTCCCAAAAAGGTTGTGTTTTTTTGCCACAGATTACGAACTAACAGGGCACTTGTTTTGCATATTTTTCTTTACCGCTTGGTGCTCGTCTTCAATTGTGACGGTGGCCATTGGTGTTAATTGTGATGATGGTCGTCGGTTTGAATCTGCTGCCCTCCGTATGAGTTGTAACGATGGTTCTCGGTTTCAATTGTGGCGATGGGCCCAGGCTTCGATTTTGACGATGGTTCTCGCATTCAATTGTGCCGGTAGTCCTCGGTTTCAATTGGGACGATGGTCCTCGATTCCAATTGTGATGATGGTCCTCGGCTTCAATTGTGACCATCGTCCTTATTTTCGATCTGGCACCCTTGGTTGAAATTGATACGATGGTCCTCCGCTTTAATTTTCACGATTGTGCTGGGTGTCAGTATGGCGGTCTTGGTTTGACTTCCTTGGTTTGACTTGTCACGACAGTCGTTGATTTGAGTTTTGCCGATGGCCCACGGTTTCAGGTGTGGTGATGGTCCTCGTCTTGAATTGTGAGGATGGTTATCGGCGTCAATTGTGACGATGGTTTTGGTCTTGAATTGTGATGATGGTCCTCGGTTTTAATCTGGGGCAATCCGTTTCAATTGTGACAATGATCCTCGGCTTCAATTGTGACGATGGTTCTCGGCGTGAATTGTGTTGATGGTCCTCGTCTTCAATTGTCACGATGGCTCTCTGTCATGGTAACGATGGTCCTCGGTTTCAATTGTGACGACGATGGTTCTCGTCTTCAACTGTGATGAAGGCCCTTGGGTTCACTGTAAATATGGCCCTTGGAAATACTGGTGATGATGGTCCTTGGTGTCAATCTGGTGCCCTTCGTCGGAATCATGACGATGGTCCTCGCATATAAATGCGACGATGGTCCTCGTCTTGAATTTTGACGATGGTCCTCGGTTTCAATGATGATGATGGTCCTCGGCTTCAATCTGGTGCCCGTAGATTCAATTGTGACGATGGTCCTCGGCTTCAAGTGTGATGATGATCCTCGGGAACACGTGACGATCGCCCTAGTCTTCAATTGTGACGATGGTTCTTGCATTCATTTGTGACGATGGCGCTCGGTATAAATTGTGACGATAGTTCTCGTCTTCGAATGTGATGATGGTCCTTGGGTTCATCTGTGACGAGGGTCCCCCGATGTAATTGTGACGATGGTCGTCGGTTTCACAAGTGAAGAAGGTCGCCGGTTTGACTTGTGACGATGGTCTTCGACTTAATTGTGATGATGGTGCTCGGTTTGAATTGTAACGATGGTCCTGGGGTATTATTGTGACGGTGGTCGTCGGTTTCAAATGTGTGACGAAGGTCCTTGGTTTCAATCGTGACGATGTTTCTCGGTTTGAATTGTGATGACGGTACTCGTCAATAGTGACGATGGTCATCGGTTTCAATCGGTGATGATGATCGTCAATTTCATTGTGGTGACCTTCGTTTCAATTGTGACGATGGTCCTCGGCTTCAATTGTGACGATGGTCCTCGTCTTCAATTGTGACGATGATCCTCGGTCTGAAATTGTGATGACGGTCCTGGTCATTAATTGTACGATGGCCCTCTGTTGAAATGGTGATGATGGTCCGCGGTTTCAATCTGGTGCCCTTCGTTTGAACTGTGACTCTTGCCCTCGGGCATAATTGTGATGATCGCCCTCGTCTTGGATTGTGAAGATGGTTCGCGGTAATAATTGTGGCGTTGGTTCTCGTCTTCAACTGTGATGATGGTCCTCCAAGCTGGTTCACGCAAGAAAATCAAAATTTGTTCTCCGTAAACCCTTCCTTCGGTTTTTTGGAGATAGGTCACCAAATTTTGCACACTTGTCCCCAAGGTATTTACCAAACTTTTCACGAGTGGTGTTTTTCGATTTTTTGTTTCTATTCACGGAATGATCGGGGTCCCGCACGTTGCTGGGACTGAAAGGCTGCGCTGGACCCTGAATTTTCGGCGAATAAAAAAAAAGTAGAAAAATCCTATTCGTCAAACGTTTGGAAACTACCTTGGGGACAAGTGTGCAACTTGGTGACCTATCTCCAGAACCGATTTTCTTTTTTTAACCAGAACCTGAGACTTCCTCTGCGAACCCCTTATTTACTTAGATTTAGAATATAATAAGCTTTTTGGACACAACTCTACGCGTGAATCGACCGCTCTACCTAACTTTCGCCCCTTGGGCAACGAAACTTTGTACAATCCTTCAACACCGTACACCGGAGCCGACCGAATTCGATTCTTATATTTGAAGCATACCGGCTTCCGGGGGTCATGTCCGATAGACCCCAATAAGCCGGTAGGAGCGGAAAAACTTCGTGACAAGTGCTCAAGAATATTGTTTTGGGTTTGTGGTATATATCAATACCTGCCAAGCTACCAAATTTGGGGACGATCCAAGCTTTCCTCAGATATATACGACGGAAACCGTTTCGATGCTTTCTGGGCGGTTGTTCCGTACAACCGGTGGCTATCTGACGACGCCAAATGGCCAAAACACCGGAAATCCCACCTTTTGGGGCGTAACTCGCTCCAACGGTGACCATTTTCACTTCTGTTTTTATTATTGGGTTCCAAAGAGCTTGAAGGTCATTTGGGGTTGAACTCTGGTCGAAGAAGGTTCGTGTTGCATCAGATTTGGAGTTACTATTTCTCGAACAGCGTGAAGGCCGCTGATTGGCCAAGACACACTTTTGCGCCCAACCACCGTAGAAAGATGTTGCCATTCGTATGCCCCTGTCTCAGGCTAAGCGTGGGGGTCACTATGGTATACAAAGTGTGTTGATTTTTTACTACTTGCGTCCTTATGAGTGGGGGAACGAACTTTGGGTTCCTTGCGTGAACCAGCGTGCGGGGTTCAACTGTGATGACCCTGAGGACATACACCCACCCGTTTCCAGGCACGACAATAGTGGGCGTGCTCCGGCCACGTTTCCCCTCTGGAACATAATTTCGTCCTCATGTTCTGTCACTTTTCACTTCGATCGCATCGCCCAATCCATACATAATCTACATTCGCACTCGGCCCGAGATCCCAGAGTATCCTTATCACCGTACCCCTGCCCAAAAATGATCGCAAGAACACGACGGTAATACACCTTGTGCAATCCATACCTCCATGCACAGCGTGTAAAGGCCGACGAAACGAAAGGCAAAATACATCGTTATGCTACATGCACTCACGCGCCACGCGCGTGGAAGACAATGTTGTTCAAGACTGGCCGGCGACATTCGTCAAAATTTCCCTTTGCCAAGCGAGCCATGTATCTAGCGCCCACGTAACAGGGTTAACCTACCAACGACCGTTCGGAACGGTACGAGACCGCACGTGCGGCAATACGTCTTTGTGCTACTCCTGGAGTTTACTTAGCACGTCGCACATTAATCATTCCCCCCTCGCTGTGCTGGATACAGAACTCCGCCATCTTGCTGCCGTTTCTTCCATACGACGGCTGCTTCGTGCAACCTGGATGGCCGCACCTCTTGCTCGCAACATCGACCATGCCCCGTTGCGCGTGCTGCCGGCAGAACTCCGCCATCTTGCTGCCGTCTTTTCCAAACGACGGACGTTTCGTGCAACCTGAATGACTGCACCTTTTATTATTAACATCGACCATGCCCTGTTGCGCGTGCTGGGCACAGAACTCCGCCTTCTTGCTGTCGGCTTTGCCATATGAAGACAACTTCATGCACGCTGGATGGCCGCACCGCTTGCGGACAACATTGACCATGCCCTGACGCGCGTGCTGGACACAAAACTCCGCATTCTTGCTGCCGTCGTTTCCATACGACGGCCGCTTCGAGCAACCTGGATTACTGCACCTCTTATGTCTAACATTGACCATGTCCTGCTGCACGTGTTGGGCGCAGAACTCCGCCTTCTTACTGCCGTCTTTTCCATACGAAGGCCGCTTCGTGCAACCTGGGTGGCCGCAAGTCCTCTTCACGGCATTTGTCATCCCTGGCTTTCCGTGCTGGGCACAGAACTCCGCCTTCTCGCTGCCGTCTTTTCCATGTGAAGGTGCCTTCGTGCAACCTGGGTGGTGGCACCTCCTGCTGAACACGTTAGCCATGCCCTGTAGAGCATGCTGGGCACAGAACTCCGCCTTCTTGCTGCCGTCTTTTCCATATGAGGGCCTCTTCGTGCAACCTGGATGGCCGCACCTCTTCTTGACGACGTCGACCATGCCCCGTAGCTTATGCTGGGAGCAGAACTGCGCATGCTTGCTATGGGCTTGGCCGTACGATGGCCGTGTTGTACAGCCGTGCTCCTGGCAGCATCGTCGTCCCTGGCCATGATGTCTGGCGGTCGGACGCCATGACTGTTGAAAAGCACGGTCCCAAACGCGATTGAGCAGAACCCACATTCCAATGCAAAACAGGTCAGCATCTCAGCAACGAGGAGAGCGACATCGGGGAGAAGTCTGAAACAGTTCAATGAACACACTACACGACACCGCCTAAAGACCTCCTCGCCTCCATTCTTGATTGTTCAAAATGCATCCTGTGCTTGTTGACAGCGTAGAAGCAGCCATCGATATTCCACCACCAATACCATTTGCCCTCTGCTTTTCGACCTCATGGTAGGAAGTTCCGAGGTGAAATTAGTTGGTTGCCTCTCACTCAGAGCGCCATCGACAAAGTCATTAACTACATTCTTCGTCGTCAGCTACTCTTAGTGTGCCGCCCAGTCGGTGCTTCACGCGCGTCGCCTCTCACACTACCTCCGACCTTTCGGATTCTAACCGAAGGTTTCCGCCTTATATCATATATTGGAAAGACGGTAGATGAGTTCGGTAGATCTTGCTTCCCATATTCAACTCCACTCGTAACACGCCTGTGTGTGGCTTTTCGGCTACCGTCCGTGAAGCAGCGCGTTGCAAAGTCGGCGGCGAGCATTCCCCTTACCGTTCCTCAGACACCCTCAAAACCCAATATTTCCAGAGCAGTTGTAAGGACAGTCGGAATCAGGGTCAAGCAACACGAATGCAGACTTGCTGGAGTTGCAATGGCGATTCCCTCTCAGCGTCTAGATATTTAGCACTTTCGCCGGCGCTCGATTCCGCCAGCTGTGCACTACTGATAGGGTGCGCGAGAGCAATCATCCCGCATCGGCACCACCCACCACCTGGTCGGAAAGCAGGAGCGACTGACGAGGCAAACTAGCACGAGCAAAGCATGCACTGGCCAACCACATAATCATGACATCTTCGCGATTAAACGCGAGCACAACCAGCCTTCCACATTATTCACCGTCGTGTGTGCTGCCGCCATCCCACCGCCAGTTGTTTCTGGTCGGGAGGTATTCCGTTGGCGCTTGGCTGACGCTGTTGCAGGGCTGACATCCAAACACGATACATCACCAGGCGTCAAGATACAAACACCGGGGAGGGGATAAAACGGCATGAGGTTTTTTGAACACATCCAATCGGCTTAGAACGCCATGGGAAAGGGCACTGGCAAAGTGGACGGAATTTCCATTCAATTCAAAAACGTGCACATGATGGATTCTGTACAGGAAATCTTCTGTTCACCGCGATAGTCCCGGTCGAGTAGAGCTCCTAGCTGCCACGAACAACGTCTGGAGTGTACATGAAGCAACCGGGGCTAGAGAGAGACCGTGACATGCTGCTGCGATCGAGATGAATGCTTCAACGATGTTGAGATTGGAAATAACCAGGGTCAGACCTGCCCAGGGGTGGACCATGGGTCAGTTTGAAGCGTCGACGGTTAAATTTCCCCGCCGGGATAGAGAGGGGGCAGAAAGTCTACCAAGAGTTGGCGTTCGGAAAGGGGGGGATTGCCTTCATTAGCCCTAGTGTTCTGAGGGATGGGGGAAGGATTGACATTGCCCTACGGCAAAAAATAGGTGAACGATACAGCAGGGTCAACATGGTCAAAACTCGACTCCCCCAGATGGGCGCTTGTAATCAGCGTGAACTATGACTAACGTATTGGTGGACGCCCTTTTACCCCCTCCACGTCATAAAATCCCGGGGTGTATCCCCTGCCGCGACTGGTGTTATCTGCAATGGTAGCCAAATTTTCTGAAGTACCACCTGCTCTGCGGAGAATATAATATCCTTCAATCCATTTTCTTCACAGAAATCGCCTTCTGTCCCAAGGACATCAATACATGAATCTTCCAGCTTCAACGGGATGATGGCAAGCGAAACCCGAGACACACTCCGTATTCGAGCACAGCATGGATGACACGCGAACAAAAGAATAACGTGCAGAAGAGTATCGGCTAGACGTTGGCAAAAAGACAGAAAGAAAGCGGGGGAGACGCATAAGCGCAAAATGAACCATCATGAAAAGAAAGTTGATTGCTGGGGAGAAAACGACAGATAAGGGTTCTACTTCCCGTCGTCTCTCAGGGCAGGGAGTAACTCAGACACTCAGGGTACCATCGCAGACAAATATATCTGCGGCACGGCATGTACCTCGGGCTTTTGTTGATATGGCAGAGGGGACACGGGCGTTGACCAACAATCTAGGCGCTTTAGCGCTGACAATGTAGTACCCGGGTGAGTCACGATTTACCAGGGTTACTCGGTGGTGTCGTGTATTCTGAACAACACACCTCCCGAACATCTGTGAGGTTTTGACTCATGGAATACAATACTCCGCGACGAACGCGAGACGTCGTTTTGCCTGTTTCTTGCAAGTGTTATCGGTCGGTCGTGGACCGTGCACGGGCTGATCAGTTACGAAATGTCAGTTGTTGCGGGACGAAATTCGCTTCAGCCTCTCGACGAAATACGAACGCTAGAGCGCCATCTACCCTGCGGGCTCCCATGACGGCGTGTGTGACACATGGAATATATTACACACTGAGGAGTGCGAGCACCACCATGTACACCCAAACCAACCGGTGGGTAACCCATACAAAAGAATACTGGGTTTGTACAGCAGGGGCAGGCTTCGGTTGCGTTCCGGTGAATGTGTGTGTTCTGTCAGGCAACACAAACCTGCAGTGTTTCGAGACGCCATGGCGCGTGTTTTGTCTCGCGTTTCGACATGTCGGCAGTTTTCTGCAGCCTGAGAGATGCTCGCGGCTTCCATGTGATTCATCTGACCGCAGGTACTGTAGACTCGACGCTAGACGGGTGTGGCCCCCTGTCAACCCTCCTGTACGTGACTGTGCGTGCCGCCTAACATGGTGGCGAACGACACTGCGGGGACACCGTGCCAATCGGCGGGGCAGCAGATCTTGGGTAGGAGATACCGGGTAACAGATTGTTACCGGTTTGTACACAAAGCCCAAAGAGAAACCTAAACCGTTTAGATCACAATTTCTCGCGGTTGATTCCCGCATCCCGTGCGGTAGCTATACTCGAATTCCAAATCTCTCGCACTACTGATGTTCACCGTTCAGTGTGGTTGGGTTGCCCGCTGCTGGCTGTCCAGGCGCTGTACCGGCAGAGGGCCTTGGCCATACTCCCGAGCTTGCGCTTGCCCGGCCTTGCCTGGAGTGAGTCATCCACACATTGCAAGGACTGGGTCTCGTTGATGTCGCAAAGCACAATCTCAAATAGACGAGCCTGGGGCTACACAGAGGACCACGGCAAAGATGAGAATACTAGACGCGAAGGAGACAGAAAGCTTGAATACTCGGATGATCCCGAGAGACCCCACTCCCCAATGTAACCACGCGAACGAGGGGGACATTGCCATGACATGCATCGGCTTAAACGCGATGGATTCACCCTGTGCAAAAGGTTGGCCATGATTGTATCGAGAAGAGCGGCCACCTCAAGCGTGGGTTGATCTGTCGATATTGCAATGTTTACTGAAGGTCGACAGTTGAGCAAAATTCACGTGCTCTCCACCGCTAGCAGTTTGGGGCGACATCACATGCGTCTTATCAAACCAACGTGCCTCTGACGTTGACGATAGCCTCATCCTCTCTTCTTGTCCATCCGCTTGCTCTTCCTCCTCTTCCTCCTCCTCCTCCTGCTCCTCCTCCTCCTCCTCCTCCTCCTC